GCTCTGAGCCCCCAGGGACTCCTGACATGGAGGGATCTTACCCTCCGGGCCCTGAGCTCTGAGCCCCCAGGGACTCATGGCAAGGGGAGACCTCACCCTCCAGGCCCTACACTCTGAGCCCCCAAGGACTCATGGTATTGAGGTACCCTGTGGGGATATATGCCATTTAAACATGGCTGCACTATTGACAACTGCAGCCCCCACAGGCCTCTATGCTATATATGACATTTTGGAGACTTGTCAGCGATCAGAAGAAGATTATGCACAATGTGTTTTCCCAAACCTATTGTCCTGTTACTGATTGGCTTGTTTACCTGAATTCCTTCTCCCTTGCCTGAAACTTATTGTTACTCACCCAAAGCCCACTGTTCTGTTATTTGCTTTATTGCTTGCTGTACTGACTATAAAATAAACTCCTGGGACTGAAGCCGGGGTTCGACTCCACAGTGACCCTCCTGGCCCCACTTCTCTGTAAGAGTTGTGGCATTGGTTACTGTCTCCGCCGCCCCGACAACCGTCACCACTGCGACAGTACCTCACCCTCCGGGCCCACACTCTGAGTCCCCAGGGACTCATGGCAAGTGGGGGCCCTGCTTCTGGGCCCGTGCTCTGAGCCCCTGGAGACGTGGGTCACCTCCTTTCCACAGGCTGGCCCTTCAGAGGTGGTCCACAGGCACAGTCAGGAACTTAACAATCACCTGCTCTCTTACGTCTGCCAGGTCTACTCTGAGAGCAGCCATGAGGAAGACTTACAAGGCATTCACAAGGCCTCAGTGGGAACCTTCTAGAAAGCAAAGCAAACAGAGGCTGCCCACCCAGGGTCCAAGGCAGAGTGTATGGCGGGGGGCAATACAGTGACACAGGACCACACACACGGGTCAGGTCAGCTCTAGGTTGTTCCGTTTGTTTCTTGAAAACCAAAGCATCTTGCACGTAAATTAATAGAAGACAAAAACATTCTTCATTTTGTAGCTTGCTTATTTCAAACTTCAGTGGTATGCTAACAAGTTTAACTCAAGAATTAAAGAGAGGTGCTTGTGGAGACAGTGTTTTAAACTAATCAAACCACATTACTTTTTCAATTCCTTAGCACTTACAAGCTTTGTTATGAGGCATAGCAGGCATGGGGCTGAACGTGACCCAAAAACAAACCCGAGAGGAATGTGACTTCTCTCCGGAGGGGAAGGTGCCGAGCGCCGGCCCATCGCCAGCCAGTCCTGGGGGCCGGGGGGCTGCGGTGGGGCTGAGACGTACCTTATGATACAGGTGAGGGCTGGACAGCGGGTGGGGGGCGGCGGAGGGCACGGCCGGGGAAGACATGTGGTGGACCGCTTTCAGGGACGGAGCGCCTTCCAGGCTGACCTGTCTGCAGGGGACAGGGGCCACCCCAAGGGTGGGAGGAGGTACCGCAAACCTGGTCTGGGAGAAACAGCAGAATGCCCGTGAGGCGCCACGGCCACAGCGAGGCCACCCTGGCGAGCCCACAGGACGTGGGGCCGTTAGCGGTCAGATCCACAAAGGGTCCCCGCGGCCCTTGGCCCTTCGCCGTCATCTCACGGCTTTATCCTGACTTGGAAGCATTGCATATTCTGGAAGACCACTTACCCTGCGAGGCATGCCAGTGACATAAGCCATCGAAGATTTCAACAAAACAGCTGTCACCAAACTAAGAACTGTGACTTAGGTCTCTGCAGAGGCCTGACGGGTAAGGCCCTGTGCCACCACGTTCAACCAGGTGCCATGTCCCCACAGCCGGCCTGGCCGGGGGATCTGGACAAGGGTGACTTCAACCAGGCGCCATGTCCCCGCAGCCAGCCTGGCCGGGGGCTCTGGACAAGGGTGACTTCAACCAGGCGCCAAGTCCCCGCAGCCGGCCTGGCCGGGGGCTCTGGACCGGGGTGACTTCAACCAGGTGCCATGTCCCTGCAGCCAGCCTGGCCGGGGGCTTTGGACCAGCGTGATGTCCCGCAGGCTGACCTGCTCCTCCTCGCCCCTCCTCGCCCTTGTCTCCCAAACCCTCTGAGGATGTCGGTGTCCACTCCTGTCAGCAGACAGAACTGTGGGTACTGACACCTCGCCCAACTCGGGCTGTGTCCCGCCGTGACCTTTGGGGTGTGAACACATCCTCTGAGGGGGTGGAGCAAGAGGCCTCGCAGTCACTCTCCAGGGAACATTTAACAGAGTGGCTGAACGTGACCCCAGCAGCAGAGCACGTGGTGGGGACCTTGGCCAGGCTAAGCACGCACCACGGCCTGGAGAGCCTCCCCCAGGAGCCGCGCATTCCCCGGGGGCCTGGGTGTAACCCTAGGAGGCCTGTCTGCTCTGCCTAGGAGCCCCCTGCCTGCACCGTTGACAGCCCCGCCTCCTCTCTACGCACCACCCTGAACATGGCGGGACCTTCATGAACTGCACAGGTCAGACCCCACGTACAATGTTTTGAAGCTAGACCGGCCCAGGCCTCACAAAAGGGGCACCTTCAGACCTCCCCTCTGCCATCGGGGAAGGGGCACTCTCAGACCTGCCCTCAGCCTGATAAGGGGTGACACTCTCAGACCCACCCTCACCCTCATGGGAGTGGGGGCACCCTCAGACCTGCCCTCAGCCTCAGGGTAAGGAGGCACCCTTAGACCTCTCTCAGCCTCAAGGGAGGGGGGAACTCTCAGACCTCCCTCACCCTCATGGAAGGGGGGAACCCTCAGACCCGCCCTCGGCCTAAGGAGAGGGGGACACCCTCAGACCCGCCCTCGGCCTAAGGGGAGGGGGACACCCTCAGACCCGCCCTCGGCCTCAGGGGAGGGGGACACCCTCAGACCCGCCCTCAGCCTCAGGGGAGGGGGACACCCTCAGACCCGCCCTCGGCCTCAGGGGAGGGACACCCTCAGACCCGCCCTCGGCCTCAGGGGAGACCACCTAGCACACACCTGGTTGTTGGTCGTCATGATCAACGTTCGAGAAGCCGTGGACTGGGGTTTGCCACCAGGCATTGGCAATGCCGTGGGCAGAGCGGCCATGAGCGGCGTGGGTGCCTGGAGGCTAAACTGGTAAACGCTAGGCGCTGTGCATGGTGGCGTGTCCGAGTCCTGCACGGAGAAACAAAGACAAGCCTGTCGATGAGTGGCCGGGGAGGAGGGCGGGGCCAGTGTGCAGGAGGCGGGCCAGGGGCAGAGGAAGGCGGGGCCAGTGTGCAGGAGGCGGGGCTGGGGCAGAGGAGGGCGGGGACAGTGTGCAGGAGGCGGGTTGGGGCAGAGGAGGGCGGGGCCAGTGTGCAGGAGGCGGGGCTGGGGCACTCACGATGTCACTCCCAGACAGTGAAGACACAGAGGAGGCAGATGACCCCGAGGACAGGAGCTGGGGGCTGGACAGGGACAGGGTCAGGCGATGGCTGTACGGTGAACCTGGGTCTTGGCTCTGGGTCTGCTCCCCGTTGCACACGGTGATCCGCTCTGATTTCACCTTCATTCTGCTGTCTGTGCGGGGAAACAAGTCTGGGCTCACGGCTCAGGAAGCTGAAGGAGGGTGTGCAGTCTGGGGACAGCGCCAGCCACGCAAACCACCGTGAGCACCAGAGGTGCCTGAGACACAGCTGACCAAGACCCCAGCCCTCATCTGACATCAGAACAAGGATCGATTTAGGTATTGGAAAACCTTTAACTATGTTTAGAACAACCTAAATATGCAAACCTACATTTTCATCTGTGAATTTTATGAAATCTAAACACAGATCAAATATTTCTCATGAACATTTAAGATGAATAGACTCACATACTTAGTACCAAATAAAATAAATCTGTAAAATATCTCACTAATAACTTTTTATTTTGATTACATGCCGAAATGTAATACTCTGCACGTACGGGGTTGAATAAGATACATTGTGAACATTAATTTCACCTGGTTCTGCTCACGTTTTTCACCTCAACCATAAAGTTACATCTGTGGTGCGCATTATCTTTCTACTGGACAGCACTGATAGGACCTTATCGTTTCATTAGAAAAGCTGGATGTTTTCTTCGTCTGAGCTGTCTGCCAATAGGAACACAGAGTAGCCGGGGCAACGTGGCCAAACCGCCTCTCACCGAGCTCGGGTGACGGGCTGACCCTGCCGCCCCACTTCTCCTTGATCCACCGCCGGTAGTCGATGACCTCCTGCGTGACCTTGATGATCCGTCCTAACGTGCTGCGGAGGACAGTTTGCAGTGAGGGCCACAGGCATCGTGGAAACAGTGACCCATTGCAAGCAGCCACTTTACACTTTTAACAATACATTACCATGCGCGGTAAGGGACAGCATGAAAAAAGGCTGAAATGACTTTACAAACTACCTGTGACTTGGGATGTCTGAACCTGATGTGCTCTGAGACCACAGTACAGAAAAAGTGGGCTCACTCAATGCCCAATGCCTTGAACCCACGTCTACCTACAGAAGAAAGACTGTTCAAATTCCTAAGCGGGGAGTCCACCCATCCCTTGGAATAGGCATAAAGCCCTGCCCGCTGTGGATGCGTGAATGGAGGTCCAGAGGCTCACTGCATGGCCTGGATCACCGGGGGTACACTGCCTGAGCCCACGGGGCACTCTCACCCCCGTGCGGGGATGGCCGTGGGCCAGGCCTCAGAGCCGCCATATCCCAGGGAGCATGGAGGAGCAGCACCAACACCACCACCATGACCACTGAGATTCCTCCCTCCACCCCATCCCAGGGGCATGAGACAGTGGGTCGGATGCTAAGGTTCACATTCTGGAGACTGCCTGAGAAAAAGCTTCATGTCTAAGAGTTTTAAAAGGCGGAATTCACCTCCCAAAAGAAAATACCCTGAATAAAAATGCTAACTTCCCAAATTACCAATTTCTCAATGCTGGACCATAAATTGGAGATGTGGTGGCGCAGTGGTTAAGAGCTCAGCTGCTAACCAAAAGGTTGGCAGTTCGAATCCACCAGACACTCCTTGGAAACCCTATGGGGCAGTTCTACTCTGTCCTACAGGGTCGCTGAGTCGGAATCCACTCGATGGCAAGGTGTTTTCGAGACCATAGATTAATCAAACACGGCCAGCTATGCTGCTCCCTGAAAGGTCTTCCTTTACCAATGTTTCAAATGTCACTAAGATGTGACCAAAAAAAAATCATTGTCATGGAGTTGCTTCTGACTCCTGGTAACTCCATGAGTATCAGAGTCGAACTGTGCTCCATAAGGTTTTCTTGGCTGTGATCTTTACCGAAGCAAGTCGCCAGACCTTTCTTCCATGCTGCCACTAAGTAGGTTTAAACTGCTGACCTCTCAGCAGCCGGGCGCAAACCACTTGTGCCACCCAACACCCCACTAACGAACCCCATGGATGTGAGTCCCACGGCCAACTGTGTGGCTCTGCACCAACGGATGGCGGCTGTGCCAGGCACCTGGACGTGGGGGGTCCTCTTACCTCTCCGAGTCTCTGTTGGGATAGGACCTCGCAAGCGGTGACACGGCGTGGCTCAGTACGATGTAGGCGTAGTCGAACACCTGCTTCACCTGCATAGCCCCGTACGAGCTCCGGCCAACGTCGTTTCCTGCAGCAGAGACAGAGGTCGGCCAACGTCCCAGCAGTGACAAAACTTACTCCAGGCGGTCCCCCAACAGCAGTTACAGGCTGCCAGGCAACATCCCAACAGTGACGAAGGGTACTCCAGGCGGCCCCCCAAAGGAGCACTCCCAAGCCCGCCAGCAAGGGCCAGCAGGGCCAGCCTTGCGGACAACGCAGCTGCAGACACGCTGCGGCCAGTGGGGCCACCTCAGGTCTGCCCACGCGTGGACGGAGAGGGGACAGTGCATTATGGGGTCCCCTAGCCCTCCACAGGAATGAGCCCCACTGACCCCTGGAAGCCACCAAACCCAAGTGCTGCTACACGAACTGGGGCCGCTGCTCTGAGAAAGGCAGTCCTAAAGCCGCCCCACACTGCAAGCGCCGTGGACAGGTCCCCCCAACAGCTGCCGGCGCTGCCGAATGGTCCCCTCCCCCTCCCCGCAGCCACCCGTGCCGCCGACGGGTCCCCCCCGACAGCTGCCCGCACCACCAACGGGTCCCCTCCCCCCACAGCCGCCCGCGCCTCCGACGGGTACCCCCCACAGCCGCCTGCCCCGCCGATGGGTCCCCCCTCCCACAGCCGCCTGCCCCGCCGACGGGTCCACCCCCACCCCAACAGCCGGGTTCACTCTGCGTAAAGGGCAGTGCAGTCGGCACTCCCGTCCCTGTCAGCGTGCTCTGGGTGTGAACCGTGGCTGCTGAGAGCTGGGTGACACAAGGCTAAGGCAGCCCTCACAGAGGTCACCAAGTCCCCAGGGCAGAGGTCGCTCGCTGAGAGAAAAGCAGTCTCAGAACTGACTTCACGTGGAGCTCATCTGGGATGCAGGGAACCATGGCCGTCTTCAGGAGGCACCTTCCAAGTTCTCCAGGACGTGGAGCACACCCCTGTAGACGGGGGAGCCTCCCGACCAAACCGCCAGCAGGCAGGCAGGCAACGGCCACCGAGCTGACACTTGCTGTCTGCGGAACGTGACTCGGGCACAGCACCATCATCCCACTTCAACAGCAAATGACAGTGCTGTGTTTTCCTTCTAAAGCTTCCTAACGAATAATTTTCCCATCTACCTCAGAAACCATAAAATAAAACAAACTTCATTAAATTTGAGAATATACTTTTTTAAAAATGCATAGGAGCTGGACAATAAGAAACACCAAATATAAATGAGAAGACAAACTTGTACACCACGAGGCCAGGACATCTGGCAAAGATCAGCCCCCAGCGTGTGCAGGCACCCCCTCCAAGGGGGAAGGACGCACTCAGCAGAGAACACAGAGGCTGGGCGTCCACCCAGAGGACATGGAGGACAGTGACCCTGGCCACCCCCACTGACCCCATCACCAGCAGTCAGCAGTGGCCGACGCCTGGCAGAGGCTCAGTAAACACTGTGCAGTAAATGGGTAACGTGGTTAACCTCACTCACTAGAGAAACGTAAAGTGAAAATGTGTGGCTCATGGCTTCTCAGATCAGAGAGACTGGGGGACAGTTTGGGGTATCAGCCCTCCTAAACACACTATGGGAATCGAGCTGGGACGCTGGGGATGGGCCAGGGCCCCTTCCGTATGGCCCTCCCTGTATTAAGGCACGTCCTGGGCACCTGTCTGCATGCTGGGAAGCTGGAGATGGGCCTCGGCCCCTTCCACATGGCCTTCCCTGTAAGGCACATTCTGGCACCATCAGTGTGCTGGGACGCTGGAGATGGGCCTGGGTCCCCTGTTCATGGCCCTCCCTGTAAAGGCACATCCTGGCACCTTCAGCGTGCTGGGACGCTGTTTCACTGGGACGACCAAAGGGGGAGCCAACATCCAGGTGGAAACCATGGGAAATGCCTCCACACGGGACGGGTGTGGTGTGCGTTACTGTTCTGTCACACATCTGGGCAGTGAACGCTTGCTTTATCGTGAGGACTGGTACTTGCATAACGAGAAAATCTTTTTTCCTTAATTTTTACTTTCTACGTTTTCCTAACGTAATGTAAATCTTTTTTAAAAAGCAGTTAGTTAGAACTACTAAATGGGGAATACTGAAGAAGTGACACTGTTAACTCTGATGATAAGAACCTGTGTCAAGATGAGACTCACTGCCCTCTGGCCTCTGGGGCCCCATCTCCCATGCCCCTGCCCCTGGCTAGTGCCCTTCCCCACCCCCCCGGGGGCTGACAGCAAGGGCTCCTTGATGGCCCTGCCCCCGGCAGCACCACCCACCCAGCCCCCCAACAGAGAGCACACCCTCACCAGGCATCAGAGGGTCCTGGATGCCAAGTCCCCCGCGCTCCCATCTCCTGCAGT